GGGACAGCAATTCGTGCTGGTACATTTGCAGCTGGTATATGTGATTTTATCACTTTCTTTGTATCAGTAAATGCATCAGGTAATTGATTTGCAACATTTTGCAAGTGAATGATCCTCTGAACTTCTCGTTCACATTGGTTTGTACAAGGATCAAAATGAGACAATTTCAGGGCATTCCAAGTAAGATCACGTTGCTGCTATACCTTTTCTCCCCCTAATGGTGGGAAAACAGTCTCATCAAAATGACAGTCAGCAAATCGTGCTTTGAAGACATCACCTGTCAGGGGTTCAAGATATCTAATAATAGATGGGAATCAAAACCAACATAAATTCCAAGTCTACGTTGAGGACCCATTTTAGTGCGTTGGGGTGGTGCAATTGGAACATATACAGTACAACCAAAAACTCGTATGTGGGAGATATTTGGTTGTTGACCAAAAACAAGTTGTAATGGTGAGTACTTATGATAAGCAGTTGGTCGTATACGAACTAATGATGCAGCATGCAATATGGCATGACCCCAGGCAGAAACATGTAATTTTGTTCGCATAAGCAAAGGACGACCAATTAGCTGACGTCTTTTAATAAAAGATTCAGCCATACCATTTTGAGTATGAGTGTGTGCAACAGGATGTTCAACATAAATTCCAACTGACATGCAATAATCATCAAAAGCTTGAGAAGAAAATTTAGCGGCATTATTAAGACGGATTGTCTTAATTGGGTAATCAGGAAAGTGTGCCCGTAATTTGATGATTTGAGCAAGAAGTTTAACAAATGCAATATTACGAGTAGAAAGTAGACAAACATGTGACCATCGTGTTGATGCATCAATTAAGACCATAAAATAACGAAATGGTCCAGATGGTGGATGGATTGGCCCACATATATCCCCATGAATTCGTTGTAAAAATGGAGGAGACTCAACAATGACTGTTGAAGGGGATGGTCTGATAATCAACTTACCTTGTGAGCAGGCGGTGCATAGATGATTATTTGGTAAGATGATTTTTTGATCCTTTAGTGGGTGACCATGTGAATTTTCAATAATTCGACGCATCATTGTACTCCCTGGGTGACCAAGTCGATCATGCCAAAGTATAAAAAGTGTTGGGTCACAAGATTTTTTATGGATCACAACATTTGACTCAATTGTTCTAATGGTTGTATAGTATAACCCAGAAGAGAAAACAGGGAGTTTTTCTAATATCAGTTTCTTGCCTGAGGTAATGGAAGTAATGTAGAGATATTCGACATTTCTTTCATTTGCAGTCTCAATATGATACCCATTACGACGCAAGTCTTTAAAACTCAGCAGATTTCTCCGAGATCTCGTAGAATATAAGGCATCATTGATTTGTAATCTAGTTCCATTTGGTAAAATGATGTTGGCTCGTCCGGAGCCTTCAATCAAGTCGGTGGGACCTGATATGGTACTGACACTAGCGTCTGTCAGAGTTAAGTGGGAAAAATATTTTTGATCTCGAAGGATTGTATGCGTTGTTCCGCTATCTGCAAGACATATGTCTTCACCATTTAGTTTGGAACTAGTCAGATCCATTCCTATTCATGCAAATTTCTTTATCAGGAAAAAAACTTTTATAACAAAAACCTTTAATATAAACTAGAAAATAAAAACTTTAATACAAGGACAACAAAAAGCATAGTAGACAGTACATAAAAGAAACATAAGATTAACTGGTGTGGACATTTCCATCACCAATCAGGAAGTCTATCCTTCCATCACGATCATCAAAAAAATCTGATACATCCAGATTGGTGATGTTAACTGGCTCATCATGATTAATGAAATTCATTTCCAGATGTGTGGTGTCAATTGGCTCATCATGATCAAGGAAATTCATTTCCTTTTGTTTTCCCTTTTCTTTTATTGAGGCTTGATACAGATCAGCCAGATGCTTCGGTGTACGACAAATACTTTGCCAATGCCCTGTCATGCCACACCGATAGCAAGTATTATCATGAGCCTTGGAAGGTTGAGCCACATCCTTTCCTTTTACTTGTCTCATTTCATTATGATCTTTCCTTTGAGGATATGGTGTGGATCTCTGATTGCGAAAATGTGAGGATTGATATCCTTCACGATAATAAGAATGATTTCTACCACGACCATATTCATTATTGTGGTAGTTATTTTTGTCACAACCATATTCATTTCTACCACCACGACCACGTCCACATCCGCGTCCACGACCACGGGATGAGGCAACATATGTTTCTGGGATCGGTGTCGATCCAGTTGGACGAGACTGGTGGTTTCTTAATAAAAGTTCATTATTTTGTTCTGCCACAAGCAAACATGATATCAGCTCTGAATATTTTTTAAATCTACGCTCTCGATATTGTTGTTGCAAGATTACATTCGAGGCGTGAAATGTGGTGAATGTTTTTTCTAGCAGAAGTTCATCAGTAACAGTATCACCACATAATTTCAATGTAGAGCTGATTTTGAATAGGGCAGAGTTATATTCAGCCACAGTTTTGAAATCTTGCAACCTCAGTTGCAGCCAATCAGCCCTGGCCTTTGGGAGGATAACTGTTTTTTGATGATCATATCTGTCTTTCAAATTGTTCCACAAACAAAGTGGATCTCTTTCAGTAAGGTATTCGTTTTTCAGTTCCTCACTAATATGGCGCTGGAGAAAAATCATGGCCTTTGCTTTATCTTGCAATGATGCATCATTCTTTTCTTTAATTGTGTCTCCAAGGCCCATGGCATCCAAATGGATCTGAGCATCTAGAATCCATGATAAATAATTTTTGCCAGAAATATCCAGGGCCACGAATTCCAGCTTTGTCAAATTTGACATTTTCATAATAACTAGATGTGACAACAATATAAAAATATAATTTAGCATAGTATATAAAATAAAATGACATTAAATGAGATAATAACATAATATAAATTATTTAAATAATAAATGTGGTAAATCCAGCCATAGTAAATAAATTAGTAAACAATAAAAGCGGTAAAATCGGCCCATAAATCATTAAATAATAAAAGTGGTAAAACCGACCATAGTGTAAGCACATATATCATTTAAGTGAACAAATTTATTTTATGAATAACAATCCATAATTAACATTTCCTTACCCTTTGGAGTTAGAAATATTATTTTATCCGATAAAGCAAACCAACCCAACAATCTATCAAAACTAATATCACAAAATAGATATATAGTTGAGATAGAAAGAGGGAGAGAAAACTTCTTTTTCAAATCTCAGATGGATAGAGTTCGTGCTGATAACGTGTAATAAATTTGTGTGTGTGTGTATATATACACATAAAGAAAGTAATATAAAGAGATTGAGTGAGAGAAAACGAAAGAGAGGCAGAGAGAATGAAATTTTGTTTTTCTATTCCAACACATATCTCAGCAGTACACATGCATAGCTATATATATATATAGGCGCAGCAATTGGCTTCCCTAAGAAGCCACTCTTGAAAGCTTCCTTTGTAAGACTTAAACCTTGATGTCATTGATGATATCATACATTGTGGGCCCCACACCATGATTTATACATAACAAAGATCATTTTTTTTTTTTTTTTCAACGGCAGGAACTCTAAACCAACTAAAATTTTAAGTCCAGTTAGGATCCAAATTGAGGAAGTTGAATTGGATTGTTTTTAGATTGAAGTTTTAAGCCCTAAAATTTTAACTGGACACTCTAAAATTTTAAGCCCTCCTTGGCTCGCCAGCAGCCGATTCCACCGGTCGAACTCACCGCCAAGTCATCCATGATCGAGCTCTCCACAACCGACCCCGTCTTCTCACCATCGTCCGTCCTCTCTGTAGTCGCTCCATCAAAGTCGAGCTCGCTGCCGCCTCCATCATCAAAACTGAGCTCGCCGTCACTCATCACGGCCGACATCATCCAAAGCCGAGCCCTCGAAGCCGCCGTTAATCGTCCGAGCGAGTCACCACTGCAATTCTTCATCACAGCCGCGTAATCCACGATCGCGTCACCATTGAGAAGCTCACAGCCTAGCTCCTCCTTGCTCGTCGATGCTGCGACGCAAGGTCACAGCCGGTCCATTCCGTCACCGCCACTGCACCGCCGTTCCAAGTTCCCTGCACCGTCTTTGCTCACTGGTGTTTCCGATGATGGGGTTTCTGGCTCTCACCGAAGTCGGCGATCGAGACAGTCACAGAGGTGGAAGCAGCGAGTTTAAAACTCCACAGTCGCCTCCGCCACCGTCTCCCCCATCAACGCCACAACCTCCGAGGTTGCCTGTAATAAAATTTCAAGCTTTCATTTTTTTTTTCTTCGCTGGATTTTTGGGTTTATTATGCAGATCTGTATTATGGAGGTGAAGAGATTGATGGTGATGAGGAGTATAGGCCGGAGTTTTTTTTGCCCCTTCTGTGGTGAGGAATATGACACTGTTGGACTTTGCTGTCATATAGATGAAGAGCATGCGATCAAAACCCAGACCGATTTGCAAAATGGGCGTGTAAAATGACGAAGTCACTGTTTATTATCATTTTTGGTTTTTTTTACAAAATTTTGTATTTTTATATATTTTATAAAATTATTGACTAAGGGTACTTTGGTCAGGTTAATTACAGTAAGTTGAGCGTATGAATGTGAAAAGTGTTAAATGTACGTGGCGATGAGGAATTCGTTGATGAAAGGACAGGAGACGTCTTAGGTGTCGAGGAAGGCGACGCCGGAGTTAATGGGGGTGTTGGATGAGGGCGATCATGTCGGAGTCAAACTTCATTCTTCTCACTCTCTCCTGTATTATATATATATATATATATGTCGATATAATGGTATCTATAGAGAAAGAAAGAGAGTGAAATTGTGAGAGACTCTTTACAAATTGGTTGGAGAAGGCAGACATGAAAGAGCAAAAGTTGGAGTTTCAGAAGGAGGTCCACGGTAGGCTTCTGGTGAGACTTAAATCGAATAAAAAGACACGTGGAAGAAATTACAAGTGTGTTTTGATAAAAGCAGATGCATAGGTTGAGGGTAAAATGGGCAATACAAATATTTGGGTATGTCATCCTTGTGTAAGGGCCATGTTAATCTTCTCTATAAAGTTCCGATTTTAACGAATGTCCCAGAAGGAACAATCGTAGCTCGTGAACAAAACATTTATTAACCGCAAATACTTTTTTTCTTTAACCAATGTGGGACAGCTTAGCTCTTTGAAATACGTGCTTTACAATCCCTATTAGCCTATCTAACATCCAAACAATCACTGTTGTTAGAAGTATTTATCTTTAGCATCAATTAAATTGAAAATACAGTATATGTCATATTATTATTGCACGATGTATTTTACATATACAGTATATGTCATATTATTATTGCACGATATATTTTATTATGTAATAATTTAGAGTAACATATTTAAGAAATACATGTGAAAGCAACCTATTGTGTGATGAGATTTAAATAAGGCTCATGGATATAGAGTGATCAATAATTGATCAAATTAATTACTATAATCTCACCATGTAAAACTCTCTTTCTATTTTACAATTATAAATCGATTAATCAAGTGCTCTATCCAATCACGGTTAACATTCTGTAAGTTAAGTTATTTCTTTAGGATCTCAATTTATGTTACCTTTCATAAAATTCATGAAACCAAACCTAAAAACAAATTAATTTTCCCATTAATTGATTTGACAATGAAACTAAAATTAGGTACTATTTCTGCTTTGCTACATCGACATACTATGAACTGGAGAATTCTTCCTCATGGAAGCAATTAGGTTGAATTCAGCCCCGTGGTGTAAATTACACCAATAAAGTACTCTGCTTTTGTAGGGTGAGCATTTGATATATGTTTGGCAACCGTTTTTGTTTTCATTTTCGTTTTGCATTTTTGTTTATTACAACAAACCCTTACTAAGATGCTTGTTCATAAAAGAGAGTAAGGAAAAATTCAAACTAATACATGTAACGGGGGAAGAGACGTGGACACAAAATGGTCATACAGTCGTACCATACAACAACATATTTTTAGTGTGATCATACAAAATCGTGACTATAATTACACAAGTACAATGACTAACCACAGTTGGCTAGTGTTTTTACTTCGTAAAAACAAATTGCCATGGAAGCAAAAGACAATTTAAGACGCCTTCTAAGTAATTTAGAGAGGTAAAAACAAAAACCCTTCTAAGAACTGAATTACTCGTGAAAGAGAGTAATCTAAATATTTAGGATAGCTAAGTCACATAATCCTTCTTAATGGGTGTCATTTTCATGTTTCAAGCGCGTTCCGACTCTCATACTCCGCGCGCAGTTTTGCTTCTATTCTTCATTTGTGTGACTTAAATTTTGCTGTTTTTGACCTTTTGCTCTGAAATCAACTCTCGCTTCTGCTCTCATTTTATATGACTTGGGACTGACAAGAAACAATAGAAAGGGAAGCCAATAGTAAATAATTTACAAATTCATATTTATGGAAATATAAGAGACTCAAAACATTAAGATATAACTAGCATTTAAATTTATGTAGCTCAACATCCGCCAAACTTCACTCTGTTTATTTCAAAATAATCTAGCATTTTTCCATCCTATTTCTTGTGTTTTCATGAACATATAGAAAACAGTTGCATTTTTTGCTGAGACATTCATCAAACTTTAAAGAATTTGTACAACTTAAAAGAAGAAGTTGTAAAGAGAAAAACATGGTTTAAGAATTAAATTTTATTCAACAATTGTTTACTTTGATTCCACTTTGTCATTTTACCTTGATGAAATTATTAGCATTTTAACTTAAACAAAATTTAACAAAACATAGTTAGTGGGGAAAAAAAAATGGAAGAAGTGCTTTAATAATTTATACAAGGAGAAGCTATAAAATTTGTGGTCTAACATATGACAACTAAAAATATTAATATATGTGATAATATTATTGTTGTTGTCATTAGTGTTATCTTGGTATCACAATATTTTAAGTATTTTAGTTTTTACTACTTCTCATGAATTCATTAACAAAGAAGTTCATGTGTTTTTATTAAATACGAGGAGACATTAGAATAATTTTTTTTTTCTCTCTCTCTCGAATTCATATAATAGATATTATAGTTGTATATATACATGTAAATAAACAATGATGTATTGTTTAAAATTCTACCAACAATGAACTTATATATTTATTTTATAAGATTTTAGCTTTTAAAAGTAAGTTAAAAAGGTCCGAATTAAAATTTTATATGAGTTCTGAGGTGACACAACCTTATATTTATTTCTGAATTCATAATTATTGGGACAATAAATAACTGTTTTGAAAATTTTTGGGGAGGGAACGATTAAAGTTTTATATGAATTTCAAAGATCACAAATAGAACATAACAATTTAATTGGGGGTATAATAAGAATTTGGTAAAATTTTGGGGGGCCATGACCCATTCTGCCCCCTAGCTAAGACACTTGTGGGACACGATTAGAAGTGTTTTAAAATTTATATATATATATATATATTTTTTGGACACGGCTAAGACAGCGGAAACACGTTTTAAACACTTTCGAAACACAAGAGAGTGGTTTTGTAATGTATATATATATATATATTTTCGGTAAGTAAGCCTACAACTTAACTCTTACTGTTACATTTCCTATAAAACTGTTCAATTTCATGACATTGTAACTCTTATCTATCTTAGCCTAGTTGGATGTCCAAAACGAAGTGCAAAAAGGAAATGCTCACAGTTACATGGACTCCTGGTGTCATCAATTGATCTAACTAACCACTGTAATCTGTGTCTTAACTCTATCCATTCTACAATTGTATATTGATTAATTAATTGTTCTTAGGAAGCACAGATGTTGTGCCGTGACGATATCAGACACCTATCGGATACGAATTAAATACAATATCTTAAATAGTGAATATTTTTTAGAGGAAGAAATTGTTCCTACCTGCAGGTCAGTCATCTCCGGCTAATTATTCTGTTTACAGAGTCGTCCTAAATAGTGAGAGACTAGGACGAGTCGATGCCAAGTCGGAAATTACAAGAGAAGTTCTAGAATTAAAATAAATAGAAATTAAACTGAATATATGAAGTGTAATTTTAGTAAAACTAAAAATAAAAAATGAAGATACAGTGAGAATTGATCAACTATGGGAACTATACAAAGTATGAGGAGAGAGAAAGAGAGAAATTAAATTGATTAAGTATTTATATATGTGCGTGGTTTATTTATTTATTTACAGAGAGGGAAAGAGTGAAATTGTGAGACCCTATACAAATTGGTACGAGAAGGTAAAATGGGTCAGGAACCATCAATCCGCTCATATCTGCTCGTTTTTTAATGATTATGGGTGAACCATATTTAATTTGAGGGTCAAGATGGGTTGAATAATTTTTAACCACTTAATTTGAGGGTCAAGATGGGTTGAATAATTTTTAACCACTTACCTCTTTCATCAAACTAATTATATACATATAATACATAAGAAACTATAGCCAACTTAAATTTTTTTTTATCCATTTATATAAAAAAAAGAAAAAAGAAATAAAAGAGATGTTTACATAGAATTTAATCAAGCATATGAATACATGGGTAGAATAATCGTAATTTCAGCCAATATATGAATCTATATAATCACAATAACTTTCCTGAAGCGACTCAAACCAAGAAAAAGAGAATCAAAAAATCAAAGTGAACTAAGTGATATATTAATATGACAGGGATGATAGTTATATATATATAAAGTGTTAAATGACAGTAGTATCCCTGTTGTTCCTTGCACGCTTTCTGGCTTCTCTATCTTGTATCGGTATCTGCAACTAATTATTACATGGTCAAAATTCCATCTGCAACATATATTAAGTGCATATATCTATATCTATATATAGTATATATCTAATTCTAATAGAGAATTTTTTAACATTTTAGAATTTTTTTTCATTTGATATATATACTTTAATTTATTGCTTTCATATATTAATATAATCAAATACAAGTATTCATAACTCCTATCTTACCATTACTAAATTTTCATTATTTTTTTGAAAATGTAAGCTATTTTTTAACAATTTTTTTTTTTATTTGATATATATACTTTAATTTATTTCTTTTATTAATATACACACATACAATAATTAATTGATGGTTCATATTCATTATTCCTATCTCTCCATTACTAAAACTTCATTATTAATAAAGCTGTAAACATTTGGTAACTAATCCTACATTTTTAGTTGATGGCTTGTATTCAGAACTCCTATCTCTCAATTACTAAATTTTCATTATTTTCTAAAAGTATAAAAAAATTAAAAAATAATTAAAAAAAAAATAATTAAAAATAATAATAGGTCAACGGTTTATAACGGGTTGACCCTGCCCATTTTAACTCACCCATTTTAACCCGTTCTGAACGAGTTAAATATGAGTCTTGACCCATGTTGATCCGCTCATTTTTAATCCAACCTAAACTCAGCCTAACCTGCCCATTTGCTGACATGAAAGAGTAAAGTTGGAGTTTCAGAGGGAGCTCCACGGTAAGCTTTTGGTGGAGACTCAAAGCGAATGAAAAGACACGTGGAAGAAAGGAGGGGTACTGTGGGAAACTGACGAATTAAGAGGGCGTTTTGGTAAAAGCAGATGCAAAGGTTGAGGGCAAAATAGGAAATAAAAAAAAAATTGGACCGTTCCTCAATTTGTGCGTGTCATCCTTGCGCAGGGCCATGCTAATCTTCGCTGTAAAGTTCCAATTTTAACGGATTTCCCGAAGGGACAATAGTACATTGTGAACAAAACATATATTAAGCCCGAATACTTTTATTCTTGGGTTAATTACAATCACACCCCTTAAGGTTTGCCCTATTAACAGCCAGATGAAAAATAGTCCTTTTTTTAACAATAACAATCCCTCAAGTTTAATAAAGTTAACAAAGACACCCCAAATGTAATGAATTGACATTACTAACCTTTGACTTGTTAATTCGTATTATGGAATTATATTTTTATCCTTCACCGTTCATTTTATTGGACCAAACTACCCTTTTAAATAGTCAAATTACCATCACTCTTCCCCCCTGCATCACCGCCTCAATCCAACCACCGCCCACCATTAAACACACAAACCACCAAAATCAATACACAACCCAAACCTCTCATCATCATCTTCAAGGTTGAACAGATACTCACGTTGGTGGTGATGAGTAGTGGTGGTCGCGGTTGGGAGTGTTGGTAAGAGGTGGAGCACCATTTTTTTAGTTTGAGGATTTTGAGTCCGGTATAAATGTTTTCCTTATTGCTTTGATTCCAAAGAAAGGGGGGCAGTGGACTTGAATGATGGTGTCATGGTGCAAGACACCAAGAATCAATGGCGTTTTGGGATTTGTCGAAAGCTTTATTGAGGGAGAGGTCGATGCCGTCATCTATGGCGTCGAGCGGTGGTGTCGGGAGTGGAAGGTTGAGTCATCGTCATCATTGTTGGCGGTGGCTTGTTTGCGTTTAGAGATGTGGTTACGGTGGTGGCAATTTTAATTTTTAGTTCGTTTTGATGGAGAAATTACAAAACCCCAAATTCTGTGGGGCTGATATGGGTGTGGTTATGTGTGCACGTTTGTGGATATGTATCTCTATGTCTGTGTGCAAGAGAGGGAAGATGCGTAATTATCTGTGTATCTATATATGTATAGATATATGTGTGTTCGCAAAATAAGGAAGAATCGATTTCAATTGTCCGTTGTCTATATATATATATATGTGTGTGTGTGACTTTGTGTCTCTGTCCAAGAGAGATAAGAAACGATTGATTTCAATTGTCTATCTATCTATCTATCTATCTATATGTGTGTGTGTGTGTGTGTGTGTGTGCGCGCGCGCGCGCGAAATAGAGGGAAGTAGCATAATTTGGGGGTGGTTGTAGCCCTAATTGTGGATGGTGGTGATGATGGGTAACGGTGGTAAAAGGTGGAGCAATCCAACAAGATGGTAGCTGTGGCGGTGGGTGTGGAGAGACGGTGGCTGTGGCAGTGGGTGAGGAGAGACGGTGGCGGCAGCTGTGGTTGAAAGATGATAGTGGCAGCCATGGTTGAAAAATGGTGTCGGCACAGAGATAGATGAAGAGAAGAGGAGTGCGTACGTATGAAAATCGTTGGACAAAGTAGTCATTTTATAATTTGGAATATTTTAATTTTTACTATTAAGATAACTTAAATATTGAAGGACAAACTTGTCCGTTCCCAGTGTTTAAGGGTCTGTTTGGATTCAAATTATGATCAGGGGTGTCATTGTTCAAAAAGAGGCCAACTTTTATATGGTTGTCAATAGAGCAAACCTCAGGGGGTATGAGTGTAATTAACCCTTTATTCTTTAACCAATGTGGGACACCTTGCTCTTTAAAAAAAGCCTATTAGCCTACAGCTAACTCTACATAAAACTCGAGTAGCCTACAAACTACGGAGTACTAGCAATCTAGTAAGGGCCAATCAGGTTCTAATATATATATATATATATATATATATATATATTTAACATCCAAACAATCATTGCTGTTAGAAGTATAATATTATATCTTTTGCATCAATTAAATTGAAAATGGAACACATCTTATTATTATTGCACGATGTATTTTATTATGTAATAATATGGAGTAACATATTAGAAAAATGATAATACTTGTCTACTTGTTGGTAGAAAGTTCATGCTTATCCTGATACGGTGTAAAAGTAATGTGATAAATTTTCATAAAATAGAAAATAATAAAAATAAATAAATAAAAAATTAAATACTTACCGAGTCAACCTAAAAGGATGCAAATCAAATCCTAATCTAACTCTCTCCCTCTTACTAAAAGTTTTGACTTTTATCTTTCATGATTTAATATGTAATCATTATATATGCTTATCAATTATTTTTATCTAAAGTACACCCAATTATCTAAAATCTAGTTCACATGGTTTGATACATGATTTGTTGATTGCATGATAGATTGTTATTACTTATTTCGTCTTCTTTTTCTTTTGACGGAAAACAAATATCTATGTATTATTACATTTATAGTTATTCTTTCTATTTATTATCCAGAACTTTGTTTGTATCTTGTAATATTATTTTATTTAAGTTATTCTTTTTATTCATCATCCAGAACTTTACTTGTATCTTGTAATATTATATTATTTAAAAATTTAGCTTAAAATATTTTTTCTCGACAAAATCTCATTCTCATTCACTCCCTGAACATAAAGAGTAGCATAAGGGAGACTTAGATTTGGATCATATTATGTTTAATCCAGATAACCTCTCAAAACTATTAATATTTATTATTTTCTATCTTAGGAAAGTAAGTATAAACTTCCTGCTTACCGGTAAGTCAGCAAATATTGTCCTTTAAAAAATACATGTGACCGTAACCTATTGTGCGATGAAATTTAAATAAGGCTCAGCGATATAAAGTCATAAATAATTGATCAAATTAACCACTATAATCTCATCATGTAAAACTCTCTCTCTATTCTACAATTGTAAATCGATTAATCAAGTCCAACCACGATTAACATTTTGTAAGTTAAGTTACTTCTTTAGGATCTCAATTTATGTTACTTTTCATAAAATTCATGAAACCAAACATAGAAACAAATTAGTTTTCCCATTAATTGATTTGACAATGAAACTAAAATTAGGTACTATTTTTGCTTTGCTACATCGACAGACCATGAACTCGAGAATTCTTCCTCATGGAAGTCATTAGGATGAATTCAGCCTCGAGGTGTAAATTACACCAACAAAGTACTCCGCTTTTGTAGGGTGAGCATTTGTAGTATATGTCTGGCAACTGTTTTCGTTTTCGTCTTGCATTTTTGTTTATTACAACAAACCCTCACTAAGATGCTTGTTCATAAAAGAGAGTAAGGAAAAATTCAAAACTAATATATGTGACAGGAGAAGAGACGTGGACACAAAAATGGTCACACAGTCATACCATACAACAACATATTTTAGTGTGATCATTCAAAATTGTGACTATAATTACACAAGTACAATGATTAACTAGACAATTTAAGACGCCTTCTAAGTAATTTAGACAGGAAAAAACAAAAACCCTTATAAGAAGTGAATTACTCATGAAAGAGAGTAATTTAAATATTTAGGGCTGATTTAAGAGGTATTAAAAAAATCAGCAATATGATGGTACTGATAAACTAAGTACTTAAATTTTGCTATTTTCGAGCTCCCGCTCTCGAATTCACTTTCACTTTCGTTCCGCTCCCATTTTATATGACTTAGGACTGATAAGAAACAATAGAAAGAAAAACCGATAGTAAATAATTTACAAATCCGTATTTAAGGAAATATAAGACTCAAAACATTAAGATATAACTAGCATTTAAATTTATGTAGCTCAACAATCGCTAAACTTCACTGAAACAAACATGATCTAGCATTTTTCCATCCTATTTCTTGTGTTTTCATGAACATATAGAAAACAGTTGCATTTTTGGCTGAGACATTCATCAAACTTTTAAGAATTTGTACAACTTAAAAGAAGAAGTTGTAAAGAGAAAAACATTGTTTAAGAATTAAATTTTATTCAACAATTGTTTCCTTTGATTCCACTTTGTCATTTTACCTTGATGAAATTATTAACATTTTAACTTGAACAAAATTTAACAAAACATAGGTTGCAGGAAAAAAAATAAAGTGCTTTAATAATTTATACAAGGAGAAGTTATAAAATTTGTGGACTAACATGTGACAACGAAAAATATTAATATATGTGATAAATATTATTGTTGTTGTCATTGCTGTTATATATCACAATATTTTAAATATTTTAGTTTTTCCTACTTCTCATGAATTGATTTACAAAGAAGTTCATGTATTTTTATTAAATACAAGGAGACATTAGAATTTTTTCTCTCTCTCTCTTGAATTCATATAATAGATATTATAGTTTTGCTATAAAAAAAAAAATATTATAGTTGTGTATATATATACATGTAAATAAACAATGATATATTATTTAAAATTCTACTAACAATGAACTTATATATTTATTTTATAAGATTTCAACTTTCAAAAATAAGCTAAAAATGTCCGAATTAAAATTTTATGAGCTTTAAGGTGACACAACCTTGTATTTATTTCAGAATTCATAATTATTGGGACAATAAATAACTGTTTTGAAAATTTTTGGGGAGGGGCCGATTAAAAATTTATATGAATTTTAGAGGTCACAAATATAAAATAACAATTTTATTGGGGTATAATAAGAATTTGGAAAAATTTTGGGGGGATCATGGCCCATGCATGCCCCCCCTAGCTCCGCCTTGGCTAACTAAGTGTAATGGGTGGGCGCTTGTCCATTTACCCAAAAGATCAAATTGTTGGGTAGTGCTGCATACACACCCATTTATCACTTTCTCATCCGAATCTGACCACTTGAACTCGCAATGACCTCGTTGCGGTTGAACCACCCTGCATACCCAAGTTAGCTCACCCGGACGCTTGGTGTGGCACCAGATCAAAGACTAGGTCTGCCTTTAATACCATCTGTAATGGGTGGGCGCTTACCCATTTACCCAAAAGCTCAAGCTGTTGGGTAGTTTTGTATACCCAATCACACTAAAACACTTGCAGGACATGACTAGAAGCGTTCTGAAATATATATATATATATATATATATATAGTTCCGTTTAGTTGCTCCCTGGTGTGCAAGAAGCGTATACCTCAATTTCAGTCGTTGGATTTCATCCATTGACTGAAATTGAAAACAACTATATTAGTTGTTTCTGGTTTTTTAAGACTCCAAAACCATTAATTTGAGTGTTTTAAATAAAATTAAACACCTAATAATAAGGAGGTATTAATAATGAAAAAATTAAACAAATAATTCTACTAACATCGTTTGGATATAGAAGAGTGATAGAGAGTAGTGGAGTCTTTCTATTATGGAAAAAAAAAATCTAAGAATTATCTTATACCATCAGTTGTGCTGATAACTCCCAAAAAAAATTTATCTTCTTTCATTTTTAATATTAGCTAGGGAAAAAAAAAACCTCAACAATTGGAGAAACAAATTGATTATACGAGAATACGAACTAAAAAAAATGTCTCCCATGTGAAGCTATTCATAGTCATGTATCGAGAAAGGAGTATGTTGATTGAGATACTAAGTCAGCTGAAATATGAAAAAGAAACGTTTTGAACACTTTCAAAACACAACAGGTTTTGTAACTATTTTTTCCACAAGTGCCTGGCTCGTGTTTAAGAACCAAATAAATAGAATGTATATTTATATTTATGTGTATTCATGAATAAATAGAATGTATATTTATATTTATGTGTATTCATGTATATGCACGTATTTATAAATAAACGAATGTAGGTACACTATATATATGTATGTGTATATATATATATATATTTCGGTAAGTAAGCCTACAACTTAACTCTTACTGTTACATTTCCTATAAAACTGTATGTGTGTGTGTGTGTATATATATATATATATATTTCGGTAAGTAAGCCTACAACTTAACTCTTATCTATCTTATCTTATAGCCTAGTTGGATGTCCATAACGAAGTGCAAAAAGGAAATGCTACAATTGTAAATTGATTAATCGAGGGCTCTTAGAAAGCACAGATGCAGTTACGTGACGGAATCGAACACTTGTCGGATATGGTTTAAATACGTCTATGATATGATTAGTTAGAAGTATCAGAATATTTTATAGAGGAAGAAATTGTTCCTACCTGCAGGTCAGTCATCACCATCTAATTAATCTGTTTACAGAGTCCAAGTAATGAGAGACTAGGAGGGGTCGATGCCAAATTGGAGGTTCGAAGGAAAGTTCTAGAATTAATTTTTTTTAAAATAAATAGAAATTATACTGAATATATGGAGTGTAACTTTTGTAAAATTAAAAATATTAAATGAAGATATAGTGAGAATTGATTAAGTATGGAAACTATACAAATTGTGGGGAGAGAGAGAGAGAAATTAAATTGATTAAGTATATATACGTGTGTGTGTGTGTTTTTTTTTTATTTTTTATTTTTATTTACAGAGAGAGAGACAGAGAGTGAAATTGTGCGAGACTCTATACAAATTGGTAGGAGAAGGCAGACATGAAAGAGTAAAAAAGTTGGAGTTTCAGAGGGAGGGGTACTGTGGGAACTGGGCCAAAAAAATTTGGACCATTTTCTCGATTTGTGCATGTCATCCTTGCGCAGGGGCCATGCTAATCTTCTCTGTCAAGTTCCAATTTTAACGGATGTCCCAGAAGGGACAATAGTGTATTGTGAACAAGACGTATATTAAGCTCAAATACTGTGTTTCTTTAACCAATGGCAATGTGGGATGCACCTTAGCTCTTTGAAACAAGTGCTTTACAAAGCCTATTAGCCCCAGCTTAACTCTACGTAACTACGAGTAGCCATTTTGGAGGACAAGGATCCCACTAGACTGAATTCTGTTAGAAGCAACCCATTAATTCAAGATTCCTGTTTCTTGAACAATGTTCTGGATTCAAAAGTACTAATTTGTTCATAAATATTAGCCATGGCTTGTTAAATGCACAAATTTATATACACCAATCCAATTTAGATGAATATAAATATATATTGGCATATCAACTTAAAAGGAATAATGTCATAATCCTAGTTTGAACATTAATTGCAAAAATGTAATCACTAATTTGATTAGCAATGTTAGCAAGCGATAGATTGGTATGGATTTGTGTGTAAAATTAGTAATGTTAGACACCAATCAAATTTAAAATGTTATGTCACACCATTATATCAATAATGCAACACTTTTAATTTTTTTAAATTAAAGATTAGAATAAAATGTAAATTTGTTGCATACACTATTTAGGTATTACATCAACTTGATCGTAATTCGTAACATATTACTTGTAAGTGTTTTATTTTAGAAATAATTATGTTGCACGAGTTTACAATATTTTTGCTTTTAGATTGGACTTAATGGTCCAGTGGCACTGTAAATGACACCCAAATTCAAAGCTGAGTTGTGTGGGAATGGAAGCAATTACGTAAGCAGTTAACCTTTAACGATAACTTCAGTGTTCCTGTAGTCACAATTTCTCTCTCACAGAGAAGCTCTCTATAAATACCCTTCCTAGCACTTGCTCTGTAGTCTGAGGTTTATATACTATATACAGGAAATGGCGAGAGCGGGGAGGATGAAGTTAGGTTCACAAGGTCTAGAAGTATCAGCACAAGGTCTAGGCTGCATGGGCACGACCTTCTTCTACGGCCCTCCGAAGCCCGATTCTGACGTGATCACCCGATTCCAACTCCGACGTGATCGCCCTCATCCACCACACCATTAACTCCGGCGTCACCTTCCTCGACACCTCCGACTATTACCGTCCCTTCACCAAGGAAATCCTCATTGCCAAGTTACACACACACACACATATATATTCACTACTTGCGAAGTTCTATTTGCTCTGCTTACTAAAATCAATTAACACTGATATTTTATTTAGCTAATTAATTGGTCCAATTAATTTATGATTAGGCTCTGGAGGGAGGGTTTAGAGAGAGGGTTGAATTAGGAACGAGGTTCGGTAGCTTCTTTTCCAATGGCAAGGTGCATAGGTGCGCTGATAGGGCGTATGTTCGGGCTGCCTGTGAGGGCAGCTTGAAGCGGCTCGGCATCGATTGCATAGATCTCTATTACCAGCATCGCGTTGACATTACCGTCCCCATTGAAGTCACGGTACCTACTATTCTATTCGCTTTCTGCTTTGTGTTATTGTAATTTATGATAGATATAAGAAATTGAAAATAAACAAACCGTTTGTTTTCCAATTGTCCACGCACTGCTTGATAAATGTCAGCCAAATGCAACTGTTTTAAATATGTTCATCAAAACACAAGAAATAGGAAGAAAATATTAAAATCAATTCAAACAAATTGAGTGAAGTTTAGCATCTTTTTTACATGGTTGGTACAATGGGAGGAGAAAGAAACTAAAGATATGCTCTCATATGGTATGACCACCTTGTGTCCACTTCACTTATCATATTTGCATCTCTTTTCCGAACAAGTATCTACGCATTCCTAATCCGTTTTATGTCATGTACTCATGTTTATTCCCCAGATGAGAGAACTCAAGAAGTTGGTTGAAGAGGGTAAAATAAAGTATGTAGGTTATCCAAGGCTCCTGCTTCAACAATCAGAAGGGCAAATGCAGTTCATCCGACAACAGCTGTATAGTTGGAGTAGTCGTTATGGACAAGATATGCAGGGGAAAAGGTTATTCCTACTTGCAGGTAAGGCATTAGTGGTACTAATTGCTAACTTATATGTTAGGAAATAAGACAATTTTAAGCTCTAATTTTGTCCACCATAATTTGTCAGTGAACTTGGCATTGGGATTGTTGCATATAGTCCTCTAGGACAAGGATTCCTGTCTTCAGGTCCCAAGATAGTTGAGAAGTTGTCAAGTGGCAACATTGGTAAGGTTAATGCTTATGCAGTGCCTGCGTGTGAAGGAGTGGGACAATAGGCCTAAATTTGGTCCTTTTGATGCTGCGTGTTTGCAGTTCTTTCACACTGAAATATATATTTCATCTTTTGCAGCTTCTGCCAAAGTTCCAACCTGAGAATGTCGAGCATAACAAGAACTTGTTTGAGCAAGTAAATGCTATGGCAGAAAGCAAGGGATGCACACCAGCACAGCTCGCATTGGCCTGGGTCCATCACCAAGGAAATGATGTGCGTCCCATACCCGGCACCACCAAGATTGAAAACTTTAACCAAAACATTGGTGCTTTATCCGTGAAGCTAACGAAGGAAGAAATGGCAGAACTCAAAGCCATAGCTTCAGCTGATGCTGTTAAAGGTGATAGATTTGGGGGCATTTCAATCACTTGGAGCCTGGAGGGAATCAAACACTCTCCCATTGTCCTTGTGGAAAGGCGAATAAACACACGTCTCTGCCTCCTCTAGTTCCTTGAGGTCCAATGTTGTGATGATTTTGTATTGTTTTAGAACTTGTTGGCTTGTGTTCAAGAACATAATAAATAGAATAACTTCTGCAAGTAGGAATAACTTCTCACTCAGAATCTCGTCCATAATGACCACTTCAATTGTACGTCCTTCTGATTGTTGAAGCAGAGGCCTCGGATAAACCTACATATTTTATTTTACCCTCTTCAACTAGTTTCTTGAGTTCTCCCATCTGGCATAAACATCGGTACAAGGCATCAAAAGGGTTAGGGACCAGTGTTGACAAGTCTTATGGTTCGTGGTCTCGGCTGCTACCCGGAAAATAGGGAGGTTACGTTACCTATCCAAGAAGTTACCCTCAGCTACAGGGCCTCAGGAGAGAAATCATCACGCTCGATAAGATGCTTGTTCAAAAAAGAGATGTACATAAGGAAACATTCAAAAACTAATATATGTGAGAGGGGAAGAGACATGGACACAAGATGGTCATATCATACTACAGCATATCTCAAGTGTGATTACACAACTTTTAAAATAACCTCAAAATATACTTAACAGCTTCCTTGGGGTTGAAGGAGGGTCAACAGACTACAACTCAGTATGAAGATAAGAGATGTTTACCAAATGGTAAATTGGTAATTATGAATTAAAATCCATGGACAGAAGAGAAGAGAACCAGAGAATATTATGCTTACTAAACCAGACAGGATTTGACAATGAGTAAGAATAATGAAAAGAAGAAAAGAAATAAAACCCTTCTAAGAACTGAATTACTAATGAAAAAGCAATCTAAATATTTAGGACTGCTTTAACAGGTATTAAAAAAATCAGGTGATAAGAAACAATAGAAAGGAGAGCCAATAGTAAATAATTTACAAATCCGTATTTATGAAAACATACGAGACTCAAAACATTATTGACATATAAGTAGCATTTATATTTATGTAGCTCAACAACCGCTAAACTTCACTCTGTTTGTTTCAAATGGATTTAGTATTTTTCCTTCCTATTTCTTGTGTTTTGATAAACATATTCAAAACAGTTGAATTTTTGGCTGAGACATTCCATCAAGCAGTGCATGGACACTTGTAATACAATTCGAAAACAGACAATTTGTTGACTTTCATTTGCGTATTCTCAAATTCCTATATATATAGATCAACATGATGAGTGAAAGAAATGGAATATGATCCATCTTTATCATAAATTACAATAATATAAAAGTGAAAGAGAAGTGTTTTGTACCGTGACTTCGACGATGATGCTAGTGTCGACGCGATGCCGATAATAGTGATCTAAGAAATCAATGTCCAGCTGCTTCAAGCTGACCTCTCAGGTGGCCCACACATACGCCGGATCATAGCGAATTTAAATCTTGCTGTCGGAAAAGCTGCAACCGAACTTCGTTGAGAGCCTGATCACAAATTAATTCATCAATTAGGTAAAAAATAAGGGTTAATTACAGTAAGTTGATCTGCAATTGAAAGTGAAATTGTAAGTACCATGGCGATGAGGATTTTATTGATGAAGGTGACGCCGGAGTTAATGGCGGAGTCAGGCTTCATCCGCCTCACTCTCTCCATCTACCCTCAATATATCTTTATATAACCCTCTCTCTCTATATGTCGATATAGCGGCATTTATAGAGAAAGGGAGAGAGAGAGAGAGAGAGTGAAATAGGGGAAGCTGGCAGAGATGAAAGAGGATGTTGGAGTTGCGAATGGAGCTCCTCGGTAAGCTGCTGGTGAGACTCAAAGCGAACGAAAAGACACGTGGAAGAAAGGAGGGGTAGTGTAGGAAACTGATGAATTCGGAGGGTGTTTTGGTAAAAGCAGATGCAGAGTATGGGGCCAAAATGGTCAAGAAAAAAATTTGGACCATTTCTCGATTTGTGCGTGTCATCCTTGCGCAGGGGCCATGCTAATCTTCTCTGTATCGTTCCAATTTTATCGGATGTCCCCGAAGGGACGTTAGTGAGTTGTGAACAAAACATATATTAGGCGAAGACACTGTAGTTATTTAACCGATGTGGGACATCTTAACTCTTTTGAAACACGTGCCTTAGACAGCCTAGTTAACTCTACGTTAATAGCCTTCAAACTATTTTATTACCAATCTAGTAAGACTATATAGCCTTGTAGATATGATGATGCCCAATTGTCCAATCAGGTTCTAAGATGTCTGACAATAGTATTTTATTGTTTGTTTTTGTTTTTTTTTTTGTTTTAAACATCCAAATAATTTCTTGGTGTTAGAGTTTTAATATAGTTTTAAACATCAATTAAATTGAAAATGTAAAATATTTATATTGTTTTTGCGTTCTAGATTTACTGGTATTAAATCCCCAATATAATATTACTTCATGACTTTGTATTTTATTGTGTCCAATAAGGTGCTACAGAACTTATCATTTTGTGGAAATCTAATAAGGATCATTGGTACAATGTGATCAATTGATCTAATTAACCAAGGTAATAATTGCGTTATCAATTGCGCTCTATCTTAAGGGAGTTATCAATTGCGCTCTATCTTACGGGACCAGGATTACTTTCAGTTGCATGGTGAACTCATTTGCTCCATTTGAAATAAGTGGCTGAGAATGAGCCACATCAATTAAAAAAATTGGACAACTAATTTTTTACCACCCATTTATATATTGTACTTCATATATATATAAACTTTAAATATTATTTCTAAAATACGTTTTCTCTCTCTAAAAGTTACGACTGTCTTCCTTTCTCTCTCTCTAAAAGGGAAGAAAGAAATAGTATCAATGGCGGTCTGAGGCGAAGAAGAAGAAGTGAAGAACGATGGTAAGGGAAAGAAGGAGTGAAGAACGGCGGTCTGAGGTGAAGAAGAAGAAGTGAAGATCGAAGGTCAGAAACGAAGAAGAAGAAGTGAAGATCGAAGGTCTGAGGCGAAGAAGAAGGAAAAAAGGAAGGTCTGAGGGTTAGGGTTTGAATTTTGAATAAATGAATATGAAGAAAAAGGGGAAGGGAAAACGAAGAAGAAGGGAAGAAGGTCTAAAGGTAGGTTGGAAAAGTTGGGATAAGTTAGGATGCATCTTAGGAAAATGTTGGGATTCACCGTAGGAAAATGTTGGGATGCACCAGAACGGCGGTGAGGAGAAGAAGAAGAAGAAGTAAAGAACGACGGTCTAAGGCGACGAAGAAGGAAATAGTACCATTTTAAATGGGACACCACCTTAAGAAAATGTTGGAATTCACCTTAGAAAAATGTTGAAATACACTTTACAAATCAGTTGGGATATTTGTACGAAAATGTTGGAATGTACTCTAGGAAAATGTTGTGATGCACCACTTTACAAATACTTTAGGATATATGTTACGAAAATGTTGGGAAATTGTTGTGCTGTAGCAAATAAGGATAATTTGAGATACAGGTATAATTTTCAGATTTTATTTTCAAGGAAATCATCTTATTTCCATAAGAATGGCAGAAACAAAAAATATCATACCTCTTACTTCTATTTGGAGAAGTCTGATTTGACCTTCAATTTGGAAATAGAATTGCTTATTCTATTTCGAAATAAAGCCTGTTTCCGGCTTCTATTTAGAAAGAAATCAAAATCTATTTGGAAATAAATCAAATTCTAAACTAGGTTGATTGATATTTTGGGAGAGAAGAAGAGTAGCTGGGTTGCGGGATTTCAATCAAAATCTATTTGGAAAGAAATCAAATTCTAAACTAGGTTGATTGATATTTTGGGAGAGAAGAAACGCTGGGTGGCGGGATTTCAATTTTATTTCAAATGGGTTGCTGAAATGAAGAATGGAGGGAAGGAAGAAGAAATAAGGGAGGAAAGAAGAGTATATTTGAACAGTGTATACATATACATATATACAAAAATTCTGTATAAAGCAAATATAATTTTTTACCCACTATGGTAAGTACTATTCATTCACAAAAATGGAGCAAATGTTTGCACTATTTCACCGGAGGTGATTTTCATCCCTATCTTAAGAGCACCCGCAACTCAGCTAGAGAAAGTATCAATTTGCATTAAAGCGGCCCGACAGAAATAGAGTAGGTCCACAACAGCTAGCGGGCTGGCTCGCAAAAAAGCACGAGTCCAAGTTCAATCGGGATTTTTTTTTTTTTTTGTCTTTTCCTTTGTCAAAATGCCATCGTTTGTAGCAAAGATTTTTTTAAAAAATAATAATAATAATAATAATAATAATAATCTAACATTCGAAAACAAATCAGCAAATTTTCTGGGTGCATAATTAACATCGAAATGAATTGCCCCAGTGACTTCAGCACTGATAATATGGTGAGTTATTTATTGTTATAAATATAACTTGTAAATATTTTAAATATTCGGTTTTTAATTTATTCTTAAATTTTTTGTGTAGATGACAGAAGCTAAAGAGGTATTTCGTAGTCAAACAGGTGCTGAATTTGAGTTAGAAAATTGGCATATCATGAAGCATAACATCAATCCTAGCTTTTAATCCATATAATGGATTATGTATCATTTAAAGTTGTGTAATATTAATCCTAAATTTTTTAATCCGTATAATGGATAATGTATTGTTTAAAATTATAATATTAGCCGTATATTTTTTAATTCATATAATGGATAATGTAATGTTTAAAGTTATAATATTAATCCTATTTTTTAATCCATATAGTGAGTGTTCATTATATAAGATAAAAAAATATAGCCGTTAGAAAAAAGTTCAAAAAAAAAAAATTTTTTTTTTTTTGGAAAGCGTAAATTCGGAGAACCTAATGGAGTGCCTGTTTTTAGAGACCGAAAGTTGTTGACGTGGCTCTTAAGATTGCAGACGTGACTCTTGAAAAAGCTGAAATAGTATTTTTAGAGAGCTAAAATCCGGAGAGGCTAGTGCAAATACTCTTACCGTAGTAAAATTTTCATTCTATAATTATAAACGGATTAATCTAAGTGCTCAAACCAACTACTACTACTACTGCGAAAAAAAAAAATTCGATTTTTTATTACATATATGAGATGTGCAAAAGGGAACAGATGGTAGTGCATGTTTATATTCATAATTCAGCTGAAGCATAGATGGGTTGGGTCACATGTGGTTTCTTAATGAATGTTATCAAGGCACAACTTATGTTCTAAAAGGAGAGTAAAATACAATGGTTCTAATTTTTAAGATAAATGACCCAAATTTGTACTATAATGGTATGGAGGAGGCTAAAAAATGACCCAAAATCTCTCTTTTCATATGTGGTTTATGTTCCTTTCATAAAAAAAAATTCTTTGAAACCAAACATAAAAAGATTTTACTTTTCACATTAACTAATTTGACAATGAAACTAAAATTAATTATGGTTACATCGACAGACTATGAGCTCGATAATTCTTCCTCATGGAAGCAATTAGGTTGAGTTCCAACAGAGTAGTGTGCTTTTGTAGTGTGAGCATTTGCTTGTTTCCATACTTTGGTCTTATGTTTATTACCTACTTTTTGAAAAATAGAAAGGTAGTAGATTATGGAGTGTTCTAAGAGACCCGACACCCCATACAAAAAAAATAAAAGTCTGCTCCAACACTTAGGAGGACACATGCTTCACCCAGTAACAGCAGTTTCAACTTTCAACAAGTGTTCTAGGGATGTGGAGGAAGAAATTGTTCCTACCTGCAGCTGTGTCATCTTTTGCTAATTAATCTGTTTATAGAGTGCCAAGTAGTATGAGACTGTAGAAGAAGTCAATGCCAAATCGGAGGTTTGGAGGGAAGTTTTCGAATTAAAAAGGTTTAAGATAAGCAAAAATAAAACTGAATATATGGATTTTAACTTTGGTAAATATAGAAATACAAATGAGGATATAGTGAATTGAGGATCAAGAGGTACAAAAAAGTTAACATTGTCTTTAGTTAGACTCACGCATAGGCACATATGTATTCTAGATATTTGTTCTTTCAACAAAAGCTAGGCACTTAAAGAAATTACACCATCTCTGAACACCATGATAAAACACTACAAACTCACAACAACAATGGTCCTCGAGGAATTAAGGGAGGCAGGCTCGCGTGTTTATTCATCTTTCCAGGAGGACAATGGGGGAGTGTTTGATTCCTTCCAAGAGATTATAATGCCCCCAAATCTTTCACCTTTAACAGCATCAGCAATAGTTTCGAGTTCAGCCATTTCTTCCTTTGTTAGCTGCACGGATAAAGCACCAATGCTTTGTTTAGAGTTTTGGATCTTGGTAGTGCCAGGTATGGGGCACACGTCATTTCCTTGGTGATGGACCCAGGCCAATGCGAGCTGTGATGGAGTGCATCCCTTGCTTGCTGCCATAGCATTTACCCGCTCAAATAAGTTTTTGTTATGCTCCACATTCTCAGGTTGGAACTTTGGTAGATGCTGCAAAAGATGAAATATATACTTCAGTGTAAACGAACTTCAAACACACAGCACCAAAAGGGCCTACTTTAGGTAAGTTGTCCGACTTCTTAACATGTAGGCACGACGTAAGCATGTCACACGAAATTTTTTAATACGGCTACTTTTTCAACCACTTGAAAATTTTTTTATTATATATTTGAATAGAATACTTCTTTTAATACATTTAAATTAATATATTTTTTACAATAAAAATAAATTACATATAAAAAGAAATAGTAAAGAAAAAAACCAAAACACAAAAAAACAAAAAAACAAAAAAAAAAAAAAAAAAAAGGAAAAAGAGCCCAGCAGTTGTGGGCCAAAGAAAAAAAAAAAAAAAAAAAAAAACAAAAAAAGAAAAAGAAAAAAAGAGCCGTTCTGCAGTGTTTGTTTGGCTCGCAATGCTATTGTTAACAGTAGCGATGTACTTTGCTATCCTCCTCCTGGGTCCCACAAATTGCTAGCATTATACCAATTCAAAGGCTAGCAATACTGACTCATTTGCTAGCAAAAAGCTATCCATACCGGTTGCTCTAATATATATATATATGTAACATCCAAACAATCATTGCTGTTAGAAGTATAATATTATATCTTTTGCATCAATTAAATTGAAAATGGAACACATCATATTATTATTGCACGATGTATTTTATTATGTAATAATATAGAGTAACATATTTAAAAAATGATATACTGGTCTACTTACTCGTGAGTAGAAAGTTCATGCTTACCCTGATGTGGTGTACAAGTAATGTGATAAGTTTTCATAAAATAGAAAATAATAAAAATAAATAAATAAAAAATTAAATACTTACCGGGTCAACCCAAAAGGATGCAAATCAAATCATGATCTAACTCTCTCCCTCTCTTTTTTCTCTCTCAAACTACTCCCTAAAACCCTAATCTACTAATACTGAAAGTTTTGACTTTTATCTTTTATGATTTAATGTGCAATCCTTATATATACTTATCAATTGTTTTTATCTAAAGTATACCCAATTACATAAAATCTAGTTCACATGGTTGATACATGATTTATTGATTACATGATAGATTGTTATTACTTATTTCGTCTTCTTTTTCTTTTGGCAGAAAACAAATATCTATATATCATTACATTTATAGTTATTCTTTCTATTCATCATCCAGAACTTTATTGGTATCTTGTAATATTATTTTATTTAAGTTATTCTTTTTATTCATCATCTAGAACTTTGTTTGTATCTTGTAATATTATATCATTTAAAAAATTAGCTTAAAATATTTTTTCTCGACAAAATCTCATTCTCATTCACTCTCTGAACATAAAGAGTAGTGTGAGAGAGGGGGGGAGAAAAAGTTAGATTTGGATCATATTGGGTTTAATCCGAATAACCTCTCAAAACTATTAATATTTATTATTTTCTATTTTAGAGAAGAAAGTATGAACTTCCTGCTCACCGATAAGTAAGCAAATATTGTCCTTTAAAAAATACATGTGACAGTAACCTATTGTGTGATGAAATTTAAATAAGGCTTAGCGATATAAAGTCATCAATAATTGATCAAATTAATTATTAACCACTATAACCTCATCATGAAAAACTCTCTCTCTCTTCTACAATTGTAAATTGATTAATCAAGTCCAACCATGATTAACACTTTGTAAGTTAAGTTCCTTCTTTAGGATCTCAATTTATGTTACTTTTCATAAAATTCATAAAACCAAACGTAGAAACAAATTAGTTTTCCCACTAATTGATTTGACAATGAAACAAAAATTAGGTACTAGTTTTGCTTTGCTACATCGACTGACCATGAACTCGAGAATTCTTCCTCACGGAAGCAATTAGGTTGAATTCAGCCTCGAGGTGTAAATTACACCAACAAAGTACTCTGCTTTTGTAGGGTGAGCATTTGATGTAGTATATATTTGGCAACTGTTTTCGTTTTCATTTTCATTTTTGTTTATTACAACAAACCCTCACTAAGATGCTTGTTCATAAAAGGGAGTAAGGAAAAATTCAAAACTAATACATGTGACAGGAGAAGAGACGTGGACACAAAAATGGTCATGCAGTCATACCATACAACAACATATTTTAGTGTGATCATTCAAAATTGTGACTATAATTACACAAGTACAATGACTAACTAGACAATTTTAGAGGCCTTCTAAGTAATTTAGACAAGGAAAAACCAAAAACCCTTCTAACAAGTGAATTACTCATGAAAGAGAGTAATTTCAATATTTAGGGCTGATTTAAGAGGTATTAAAAAAAATCAGCAATATGATGGTATTGATAAACTAAGTACTTAAATTTTGCTATTTTCGAGCTCCCGCTCTCGAATCCACTTTCACTTTCGTTCCGCTCCCATTTTATATGACTTATGACTGATAAGAAACAATAGAAAGAAAAACCGATAGTAAATAATTTACAAATCCGTATTTAAGGAAATATAAGACTCAAAACATTAAGATATAACTAGCATTTAAATTTATGTAGCTCAACAACCGCTAAACTTCACTGAAACAAACATGATCTAGCATTTTTCCTTCCTATTTCTTGTGTTTTCATGAACATATAGAAAACAGTTGCATTTTTGGCTGAGACATTCATCAAACTTTTAAGAATTTGTACAACTTAAAAGAAGTTGTAAAGAGAAAAAAATTGTTTAAGAATTAAATTTTATTCAACAATTGTTTACTTTGATTCCACTTTGTCATTTTACCTTGATGAAATTATTAGCATTTTTACTTAAACAAAATTTAACAAAACATAGGTAGCAAGAAAAAAAAATAAAGAAGTGCTTTAATAATTTATACAAGAAGTTATAAAATTTGTGGTCTAACATGTGACAACTAAAAATATTAATATATGTGATAAATATTATTGTTGTTGTCATTACTGTTATATATCACAATATTTTAAATTTTTTAGTTTTTACTACTTCTCATGAATTGATTTACAAAGAAGTTCATTTAATTTTATTAAATACAAGGAGACATTAGAATTTTTTTTCTCTCTCTTGAATTCATATAATAGATATTATAGTTTTGCTATATATATATATATATATATATATATATATATATATTATAGTTGTGTATATATATACATGTAAATAAACAATGATATATTATTTAAAATTCTACTAACAATGAACTTATATATTTATTTTATAAGATTTCAACTTTCAAAAGTAAGCTAAAAATGTCCGAATTAAAATTTTATATGAGCTTTAAGGTGACACAACCTTGTATTTATTTTAGAATTCATAATTATTGGGACAATAAATAACTGTTTTGAAAAATTTTGGGGAGGGGCCGATCAAAAATTTATATGAATTATAGAGGTCACAAATATAACATAACAATTTTATTGGGGTATAATAAGAATTTGGAAAAATTTTAGGGGGGGCCATGGCCCATGCATGCCTCCCTAGCTCCACCTTGGCTAGCTAAGTGTAACGGGTGGGCGCCTACTCATTTATCCAAAAGCTCAAGTTGTTGGGTAGTACTACATACACATCCATTTATCATTCTCTCATCCGGATCTGACCACCTGAACTCGTGATGCCCTCGTTGCGGTCGGACCACCCTGCCTACCCGGGGTGGCTCACCCAGACGCTTCGTGTAGCACCAGATCAAGAGCTAGGTCTGACTCTGATACTAACTGTAATGGGTGGGCGCTTACCCATTTACCTAAAAGCTCAAGCTGTTGAGTAATTTTCTATACCCACCCATTTATACCCATTTACACTAAAACACTTGCGGGACATGACTAGAAGCGTTCTAATATATATATATATATATATATATAATTTCGTTCAGTTTCTCCCTGGTGTGCAGGGAGCAATATATGCGACTTCAATTTCAGTCGTTAGATTTCAATAGAAAACAATTATATTAGTTATTTCTGATTTTTTAAGATTCTAAAACCACTTAATTTGAGTATTTTAAATAAAATTAAACAAACCTTATAATAAGAAGGTATTAATAATGAAAAAATTAAACAAATAATTCCACTAACATTGTTTAGATGTATAAGAGTGATAGAGAGTAGTGGAGTCTTTCTATTACGGGAAAAAAAATCTAAGAATTATCTTATACCATCAGTTATGATGATAACTCCCAAAAAAATTTTATCTTCTTTCATTTTTAATATTAGCTAGGGAAAAAAAAGAAAAAAAAAAACCTCAACAATTGGAGAAACAAATTGATTACACGAGGATACTAACTAAAAAAAAATGTCTCCTATGTGAAGCTATTCATAATCATGTATCGAAAAAGAAGTATGTTGAGTGAGATACTAACCTCTGCGAGAAATTTACTCGATATATGACACGGCTAAGTCAGCTGAAAGACGAAAAAGAAACGTTTTGAACACTTTCAAAACACAACAGGTTTTGTAACTATTTTTTCCCCAAGTGCCTGGCTTGTGTTTAAGAACCGAATAAATAGAATGTATATGTATATTTATGTGTATTCATGTATATGCACATATTTATAAATAAACAAATGTAGGTACACTATATATATATATATATTTCGGTAAGTAAGCCTAAAACTTAACTCTTACTGTTACATTTCCTATAAAACTGTTCAATTTCATAACATTATAACTCTTATCTATCTTATATTAGCCTTGTTGGATGTCCATAACGAAGTGCAAAAAGGAATGCTCACGGTTTAAATATGTCTCTGATACGATTAGTTAGAAATATCTGAATATTGTATAGAGGAAGAAATTGTTCCTACCTGCAGGTCAGTCATCTCCAGCTAATTAATCTGTTCACGGAGTCCTAAGTAATGAGAGACTAGGAGGGGCCGATGCCAAATTGGAGGTTCGAAGGAAAGTTCTAGAATTAATTTTTTTTTTTAAATAAATAGAAATTATACTGAATATATGGAGTGTAACTTTTGTAAAATTAAAAATATAAAATGAAGATATAGTGAGAATTGATTAAGTATGGAAACTATACAAATTGTGGGGAGAGAGAAATTAAATTGATTAAGTATATATATATATGTATATATATATATATAATTTTTTTTTTTTTTTTTTTTTTAAACCGAGAGAGAGAGAGAAGGACGGTGAAATTGTGCGAGACTCCATACAAATTGGTAGGAGAAGGCAGACATGAAAGAGTAAAAAAGTTGGAGTTTCAGAGGGAGGTCCACGGTAAGCTTCTGGTGGAGACTCAAAGTGAATGAAAAGACGCGTGGAAGAAAGGAAGGGGTACTGTAGGAAACTGAAGAATTACGAGGGTGTTTTGGTAAAAGCAGATGCAGCAGTTGAGGGCAAAATGGGCAAAAAAGATTTGGATCATTTTCTCGATTTGTGCGTGTCATCCTTGTGCAGGGGCCATGCTAATCTTCTCTGTCAAGTTCCAATTTTAATGGATGTCCCTTCTGGGACAATAGTGGATTGTGAACAAGACGTATATTAAGCTCAAATACTCTGTTTCTTTAACCAATGTGGGATGCACCTTAGCTCTTTGAAACAAGTGCTATACAAAACCTATTAGCCTACAGCTTAACTCTACGTAACTACGAGTAGCCATTTTGGAGGACAAGGATCCCACTAGACTGAATTCTGTTAGAAGCAACCCATTAATTCAAGATTCCTGTTTCTTGAACAATGTTATGGATTCAAAAGAACTAATTTGTTCATAAATATTAGCCATGGCTGATGAATATAAATATATATTGGCATATCAACTTAAAAGGAATAATGTCATAATCCTAGTTTGAACATTAATTGCAAAAATGTAATCACTAATTTGATTAGCAATGTTAGCGAGCGATAGATTGGAATGGATTTGTGTGTAAAATCAGTAATGTTAGACACCAATCAAATTTAAAATGTTATGTCACACCATTATATCAATAATGCAACACTTTTAATTTCTTTAAATTAAAGATTGGAATAAAATGTAAAAAAAAGTGTTTATTTTAGAAATAATTATGTTGCACGAGTTTACATTATTTTTACTTTTTTTTTTTTTTTTTTTTTGAAAGTTAAAGCAACCAACATATATGGTATGGGATGGGGACTACTCGAACTTGGGCCATTCGACCATAACCACCAAAACCCTACCAACTAGGCTATCACACCAGAAATTGGACTTAATGGTCCAGTGGCACTGTAAATGACACCCAAATTCAAAGGTGAGTTGTGTGGGAACGGAAGCAATTGCGTAAGCAGTTTAACCTTTAACGACAACTTCAGTGTTCCTGTAGTCACAATTTCTCTCTCAAAGAGAATCTCTCTATAAATACCCTACCTAGCACTTGCTCTGTAGTCTCAGGTTTATATACTATATACAGGAAATGGCGAGAGCGGGGAGGATGAAGTTAGGTTCACAAGGTCTAGAAGTATCAGCACAAGGTCTAGGCTGCATGGGCATGTTCTCCTTCTACGGCCCTCCGAAGCCCGATTCCGACATGATCGCCCTCATCCACCACACCATTAACTCCGGCGTCACCTTCCTCGACACCTCCGACTATTACGGTCCCTTCACCAAGGAAATCCTCATTGCCAAGTTACACACACACACACACACACACATATATATTCACTACTTGCCAAGTTCTATTTGCTCTGCTTACTAAAATCAATTAACACTGATATTTTATTTAGCTAATTAATTGGTCGAATTAATTTATGATTAGGCTCTGAAGGGAGGGTTTAGAGAGAGGGTTGAATTAGGAACGAAGTTCGGTAGCTTCTTTTCCAATGGCAAGGTGCATAGGCCCGGTGATCCGGCATATGTTCGGGCTGCCTGTGAGGGCAGCTTGAAGCGGCATGACATCGATTGCATAGATCTCTATTACCAGCATCGCGTTGACATTACCGTCCCCATTGAAGTCACGGTACCTACTATTCTATTCGCTTTCTGCTTTGTGTTATTGTAATTTATGATAGATATAAGAAATTGAAAATCAACAAACTGTTTGTTTTCCAATTGTCCACGCACTGCTTGATAAATGTCAGCCAAATGCAACTGTTTTAAATATGTTCATCAAAACACAAGAAATAGGAAGAAAATATTAAAATCAATTCAAACAAATTGAGTGAAGTTTAGCATCTTTTTTACATGGTTGGTACAATAGGAGGAGAAAGAAACTAAAGATATGCTCTCATATGGTATGACCACCTTGTGTCCACTTCACTTAACTATCATATTTGCATCTCTTTTCCGAACAAGTATCTACGCATTCCTAATCCGTTTTATGTCATGTACTCATGTTTATTCCCCAGATGAGAGAACTCAAGAAGTTGGTTGAAGAGGGTAAAATAAAGTATGTAGGTTATCCAAGGCTCCTGCTTCAACAATCAGAACGGCAAATGCAGTTCATCCGACAACAGCTGTATAGTTGGAGTAGTCGTTATGGACAAGATATGCAGGGGAAAAGGTTATTCCTACTTGCAGGTAAGGCATTAGTGGTACTAATTGCTAACTTATATGTTAGGAAATAAGACAATTTTAAGCTCTAATTTTGTCCACCATAATTTGTCAGTGAACTTGGCATTGGGATTGTTGCATATAGTCCTCTAGGACAAGGATTCCTGTCTTCAGGTCCCAAGATAGTTGAGAAGTTGTCAAGTGGCAACATTGGTAAGGTTAATGCTTATGCAGTGCCTGCGTGTGAAGGAGTGGGACAATAGGCCTAAATTTGGTCCTTTTGATGCTGCGTGTTTGCAGTTCTTTCACACTGAAATATATATTTCATCTTTTGCAGCTTCTGCCAAAGTTCCAACCTGAGAATGTCGAGCATAACTAGAACTTGTTTGAGCAAGTAAATGCTATGGCAGAAAGCAAGGGATGCACACCAGCACAGCTCGCATTGGCCTGGGTCCATCACCAAGGAAATGATGTGCATCCCATACCCGGCACCACCAAGATTGAAAACTTTAACCAAAACATTGGTGCTTTATCCGTGAAGCTAACGGAGGAAGAAATGGCAGAACTCGAAGCCATAGCTTCAGCTGATGCTGTTAAAGGTGATAGATTTGGGGGCATTTCAATCACTTGGAGCCTGGAGGGAATCAAACACTCTCCCATTGTCCTTGTGGAAAGGCGAATAAACACACGCCTCTGCCTCCTCTAGTTCCTTGAGGTCCAATGTTGTGATGATTTTGTATTGTTTTAGAACTTGTTGGCTTGTGTTCAAGAACATAATAAATAGAATAACTTCTGCAAGTAGGAATAACTTCTTACTCAGAATCTCTTGTCCATAATGACCACTTCAACTGTACGTCCTTCTGATTGTTGAAGCAGAGGCCTCGGATAAACCTACATATTTTATTTCACCCTCTTCAACTAGTTTCTTGAGTTCTCCCATCTGGCATAAACATCGGTACAAGGCATCAAAAGGGTTAGGGACCAGTGCTGACAAGTCTTATGGTTCGTGGTCTCGGCTGCTACCCGGAAAATAGGGAGGTTACGTTACCTATCCAAGAAGTTACCCTCAGCTACAGGGCCTCAGGAGAGAAATCATCACGCCCGATAAGATGCTTGTTCAAAAAAGAGATGTACATAAGGAAACATTCAAAAACTAATATACGTGACAGGGGAAGAGACATGGACACAAGATGGTCATATCATACTACAGCATATCTCAAGTGTGATTACACAACTTTTAAAATAACCTCAAAATATACTTAACAGCTTCCTTGGGGTTGAAGGAGGGGTCAACAGCCTACAACTCTGTATGAAGATAAGGGATGTTTACCAAATGGTAAATTGGTAATTATGCATTAAAATCCATGGACAGAACAGAAGAGAACCAGAGAATATTATGCTTACTAAACCAGACAGGATTTGACAATGAGTAGGAATAATGAAAAGAAGAAAAGAAATAAAACCCTTCTAAGAACTGAATTATTAATGAAAAAGTAATCTAAATATTTAGGACTGCTTTAAGAGGTATTAAAAAAATCAGGTGATAAGAAAAAAGAGAAAGGAGAGTCAATAGTAAATAATTTACAAATCCGTATTTATGAAAACATACGAGACTCAAAACATTATTGAGATATAAGTAGCATTTATATTTATGTAGCTCAACAACCGCTAAACTTCACTCTGTTTGTTTCAAATGGATTTAGTATTTTTCCTCCCTATTTCTTGTGTTTTGATAAACATATTCAAAACAGTTGCATTTTTGGCTGAGACATTCCATCAAGCAGTGCATGGACACTTGTAATACAATTCGAAAACACACAATTTGTTGACTTTCATTTGCGTATTCTCAAATTCCTATATATATAGATCAACATGTTGAGTGAAAGAAATGGAATATGATCCATCTTTATCATAAATTACAATAATATAAAAGTGAAAGAGAAGTGTTTTGTACCGTGACTTCGATGATGATGCTAGTGTCGACGCGATGCCGATAATAGTGATCTAAGAAATTAATGTCGAGCTGCTTCAAGCTGACCTCGCAGGTGGCCCACACATACGCCGGATCATAGCGAATTTAAATCTCGTCGGAAAAGCTGCAACCGAACTTCGTTGAGAGCCTGATCACAAATTAATTCGTCAATTAGGTAAAAAATTAGGGTTAATTACAATAAGTTGATCTGCAATTGAAAGTGAAATTGTAAGTACCATGGCGATGAGGATTTTATTGATGAAGGTGACGCCGGAGTTAATGGCGGAGTCAGGCTTCATCCTCCTCACTCTCTCCATCTACCCTCAATATAGCTATATATAACCCTCTCTCTCTATATGTCGATATAGCGGCATTTATAGAGAAAGGGAGAGAGAGAGAGAGAGAGAGAGTGAAATAGGGGAAGCTGGCAGAGATGAAAGAGGATGTTGGAGTTGCGAATGGAGCTCCTCGGTAAGCTGCTGGTGAGACTCAAAGCGAACGAAAAGACACGTGGAAGAAAGGAGGGGTAGTGTAGGAAACTGATGAATTCGGAGGGTGTTTTGGTAAAAGCAGATGCAGAGTATGGGGCCAAAATGGTCAAGAAAAAAATTTGGACCATTTCTCGATTTGTGCGTGTCATCCTTGCGCAGGGGCCATGCTAATCTTCTCTGTATCGTTCCAATTTTATCGGATGTCCCCGAAGGGACGGTAGTAAGTTGTGAACAAAACATATATTAGGCGAAGACACTGTAGTTCTTTAACCGATGTGGGACATCTTAACTCTTTTGAAAAACGTGCCTTACACAGCCTAGTTAACTCTACGTTAATAGCCTTCAAACTAGTTTATTACTAATCTAGTCAAACTATATAGCCTTGTAGATATGATGATGCCCAATTGTCCAATCAGGTTCTAAGATGTCTGACAGTAGTATTTTATTGTTTGTTTTTGTTTTTTTTTTGTTTTAAACATCCAAATAATTTCTTGGTGTTAAGAGTTTTAATATAGTTTTAAACATCAATTAAATTGAAAATGTAAAATATTTATATTGTTATTGCGTTCTAGATTTACTGGTATTAAATCCCCAATATAATATTACTTCATGACTTTGTATTTTATTGTGTCCAATAGGGTGCTACAGAACTTATGATATTGTGATGAAATCTAATAAGGATCATTGGTAAAATGTGATCAATTGATATAATTAACCAAGGTGATAAATGGAGCAATTGTTTGCACTATTTTATTGGAAGTGATTTTCACCCCATCTTAAGAGCACCTGCAGCTTGGCTAGAGAATGTATCAATTTGCATTGAAGCGGCCCGACAGAAATAGAATAGTTCCACAACAGCTAGCAGGCTAGCTCGCAAAAAAGCACAAGTCCAAGTTCAATTGGGATTTTTATTTTTTTTTATCTTTTCCTTTGTCAAAATGCCATCATTTGTAGCAAAGATTTTTTTTTCTTTCTAACATTCAAAAACAAATCAGCAAAATTTCTGGGTATAATTAATATCGAAAGGAATTGCCCCAGTGACTTCAGCACTGATAATATGGTGAGTTATTTATTGTTATAAATATAACTTGTAAATATTTTAAATATTCGGTTTTTAATTTATTCTTAAATTTTTTGTGTAGATGATACAAGCTAAAGAGGTATTTCGTAGTCAAACAGGTACTGAATTTGAGTTAGAAAGTTGACATATTGTGAAACATAACATCAATTCTAACTTTTAATCCATATAATGGATGACGTATCATTTAAAGTTGTGTAATATTAATCCTAAATTTTTTAATCCATATAATGGATAATGTATTGTTTAAAATTATAATATTAGCCGTATATTTTTTAATCCATATAATGGATAATGTAATGTTTAAAGTTATAATATTAATCTTATTTTTTAACCCATATAGTGAGTGTTCATTATATAAGACAAAAAATATAACCGTTAGGAAAAAGTTCCAAAAAATAAAATAAATTTTTTTTTTTTTTTTTGGAGAGCGTAAATTCAGAGAGCCTGATGGAATAACTGTTTTTAGAGAGCGAAAGTAGCCGATGTGGCTCTTAGGATTGCTAACGTGACTCTTGAAAAAGTTGAAATGGTATTTTTAAAGAGCCAAAATCCGGAAAGATTAGTGCGAATGCTCTCACCGTAATAAAATTTTCATTCTATAATTATAAACTGATTAATCTAAGTGCTCAAACCAACTACTACTACTACCAAAAAAAAAAAAATCGATTTTTTATTACATATATGAGATGTGCAAAAGGGAACAGATGGTAGTGCATGTTTATATTCATAATTCAGCTGAAGCATAGATGGGTTGGGTCACATGTAGTTTCTTAATGAAAGTCATCAAGGCACAACTTATGTTCTAAAAGGAGAGTAAAATACAATGGTTCTAATTTTTAAGATAAATGACCCAAATTTGTACTATAATGGTATGGAGGAGGCTAAAAAATGACCCAAAATCTCTCTTTTCATATGTGGTTTATGTTCCTTTCATAAAAAAAATTCTTTGAAACCAAACGTAAAAGGAATTTAGGTTTCACATTAACTAATTTGACAATGAAACTAAAATTAATTATGGTTACACCGACAGACTATGAGCTCGATAATTCTTCCTCATGGAAGCAATTAGGTTGAGTTCCAACAGAGTAGTGTGCTTTTGTAGTGTGAGCATTTGCTTGTTTCCATACTTAGGTCTTATGTTTATGACCTACTTTTTGAAAGATAGAAAGGTAGTAGATTATAGAGTGCCAAGTAGTATGAGACTGGAGAAGAAGTCAATGCCAAATCGGAGGTTTGGAGGGAAGTTTTCGAATTAAAAAGGTTTAAGATAAGCAAAAATAAAACTGAATATATGGATTTTAACTTTGGTAAATATAGAAATACAAATGAGGATATAGTGAATTGAGGATCAAGAGGTACAAAAAAGTTAACATTGTCTTTATTTAGACTCACACATAGGCACATATGAATTCTAGATATTTGTTCTTTCAACAAAAGCTAGGCACTTAAAGAAATTACACCATCTCTGAACACCATGATAAAACACTACAAACTCACAACAACAATGGTCCTCGAGCAACTAAGGGAGGCAGGCTCGCGTGTTTATTCATCTTTCCAGGAGGACAATGGGGGAGTGTTTGATTCCTTCCAAGATATTATAACGCCCCCAAATCTTTCACCTTTAACAGCATCAGCAATAGTTTCGAGTTCAGCCATTTCTTCCTTTGTTAGCTGCACGGATAAAGCACCAATGTTTTGTTTAAAGTTTTCGATCTTGGTAGTGCCAGGTATGGGGCACACGTCATTTCCTTGGTGATGGACCCAGGCCAATGCGAGCTGTGATGGAGTGCATCCCTTGCTTGCTGCCATAGCATTTACCCGCTCAAATAAGTTTTTGTTATGCTCCACATTCTCAGGTTGGAACTTTGGTAGATGCTGCAAAAGATGAAATATATACTTCAGTGTAAACGAACTTCAAACACAGCACCAAAAGGGCCTACTTTAGGTAAGTTGTCCGACTTCTTAACATGCAGGCACCACGTAAGCATGTCACACGAAATTTTTTAAAACGGCTACTTTTTCAACCACTTGATAATTTTTTTATTATATATTTGAATAGAATACTTCTTTTAATACATTTAAATTAATATATTTTTTACAATAAAAATAAATTACATATAAAAAGAAATAGTAAAGAAAAAAACCAAAACACAAAAAAACAAAAAAACAAAAAAAAAAAAAAAAAATGGAAAAAGAACCCAGCAGTTGTGGGCCAAAAAAAAAAAAAGAGCCGTTCTGCAGTGTTTGTTTGGCTCGCAATGCTATTGTTAGCAGTTGCGATGTACTTTGCTATCCTCCTCCTGGGTCTCACAAATTGCTAGCATTATACCAATTCAAAGGCTAGCAATACTGACTCATTTGCTAGCAAAAAGCTATCCATACCGGTTGCTCTAATATATATATATATATAACATCCAAACAATCATTGCTGTTAGAAGTATAATATTATATCTTTTGCATCAATTAAATTGAAAATGGAACACATCATATTATTATTGCACGATGTATTTTATTATGTAATAATATAGAGTAACATATTTAAAAAATGATATACTTGTCTACTTACTCGTGAGTAGAAAGTTCATGCTTACCCTGATGTGGTGTAAAAGTAATGTGATGAGTTTTCATAAAATAGAAAATAATAAAAATAAATAAATAAAAAATTAAATACTTTCCAGGTCAACCCAAAAGGATGCAAATCAAATCCTGATCTAACTCTCTCCCTCTCTTTTTTCTCTCTCAAACTACTCCCTAAAATCCTAATCTACTAATACTGAAAGTTTTGACTTTTATCTTTTATGATTTAATGTGCAATCCTTATATATACTTATCAATTGTTTTTATCTAAAGTACACCCAATTACATAAAATCTAGTTCACATGGTTGATACATGATTTATTGATTACATGATAGATTGTTATTACTTATTTCGTCTTCTTTTTCTTTTGGCGGAAAACAATTATCTATATATCATTACATTTATAATTATTTTTTCTATTCATCATCCAGAACTTTATTGGTATCTTGTAATATTATTTTATTTAAGTTATTCTTTTTATTCATCATCTAGAACTTTGTTTGTATCTTGTAATATTATATCATTTAAAAAATTAACTTAAAATATTTTTTCTCGACAAAATCTCATTCTCATTCACTCCCTGAACATAAAGAGTAGTGTGAGAGAGAGGGGGAGAAAAAGTTAGATTTGGATCATATTGGGCTTAATCCGAATAACCTCTCAAAACTATTAATATTTATTATTTTCTATTTTAGAGAAGAAAGTATGAACTTCCTGCAAGTAAGCAAATATTGTCCTTTAAAAAATACATGTGACAGTAACCTATTGTTTGATGAGATTTAAATAAGGCTTAGCGATATAAAGTCATCAATAATTGATCAAATTAATTATTAACCACTATAACCTCATCATGAAAAACTCTCTCTTCTAAAATTGTAAATCGATTAATCAAGTCCAACCATGATTAACATTTTGTAAGTTAAGTTACTTCTTTAGGATCTCAATTTATGTTACTTTTCATAAAATTCATAAAACCAAACGTAGAAACAAATTAGTTTTCCCACTAATTGATTTGACAATGAAACAAAAATTAGGTACTATTTTTGGTTTGCTACATCGACTGACCATGAACTCGAGAATTCTTCCTCACGGAAGCAATTAGGTTGAATTCAGCCTCGAGGTGTAAATTACACCAACAAAGTACTCTGCTTTTGTAGGGTGAGCATTTGATGTAGTATATATTTGGCAACTGTTTTCATTTTCATTTTGCATTTTTGTTTATTACAACAAACCCTCACTAAGATGCTTGTTCATAAAAGGGAGTAAGGAAAAATTCAAAACTAATATATGTGACAGGAGAAGAGACGTGGACACAAAAATGGTCATGCAGTCATACCATACAACAA